AGGAGGGCAGTGGGGTCTAGTGATTAGAGCAGGGGAAAGGGAGCCTAGACCCCTGTGTTGTAATCCCGCTCTGGGAGGGGAGTGGGGTCTAATGGGTAGAGATGGAGGTGTGCTGCGGGCACGACTCCGGGGTTCTGTTTCAAGCTTTCTCACTGGCAAACCACTTCCCCGTCCTGCGTCTCGCTTTCCTACCTTGCTTTGGGAGCGGACGATTGTTTGTCGAGAGAACCATCGAGGGAAGGTGCCGCATCCTGTTTGAGCAAAGGATTTTTACATCCCAGGCCCCGCGGTTGCTTCTAACTGCTCCGTTCGCCTCATTGTTTGCCTCGCATTGAGTTTCGCTTTCCCAGCGCGTTTCGGGGAGATTGTGTAGATTGGAGACTACAGGGCAAGGGTGTAATTCCAGAGTCACTCCCATTCAAGCCTGATTCTCAGTCGCTCTGTTCCGAGGCTGGAAGCAGGGGATGAAGGTGGAGTGGGCGGCTTAGACTGGATTTAAGTTTCCTTTGCATTCCCTGTATTCTGGCCCCTGATGTAAGTTAGAGTAGCCCAAGGGCTATTTGGTTTTTCATCGCAAGCTGGCATCTGGACTCCTGGGTCCTCTTCCTGACTGAGCTCAGGTCCCCTCTCCGTGCCTCTGTTTCCCTATGTCATCTAGGGTCACGTCCGCTGTAAAGTGTAGTTCCCTGGTGCATTGCAGAGATCATCGAATGAGAAAGGGGCTGTCGAAGGATGCAGTGTTGTCATGCTGGATGGAAACATGCTTGCAGGCTCCCTGGAGAAGAGAAGGGTTTCTGTTTGCCGTGGGAGATGGGGCAGCAATCTGTGAGAGCCAGGTGAAGGACCGGCCCGTGCTGACTGGTACAGACACCCGATGCTGACGCAGCGGCTAATCCGGAGAAGCAGCTGAAAGGATGACAGACAATAGGTTTAGGCAGGCGATTTATGGGGGGGAACCATAAGGTGATTAGTGCAGTTCAGAGGGGATTTGAAGGGAAAACAGCCGTGTGGTGGATCAGATTATGAGCTCAGAGTCGGGGCGCTCCTGCCTGCACGGTAGCTTTTTCTCTCTTCTGGCTGCCGAGGGAGTTTATGGCACGTTCTGGAAAGGCAGGGCTCTGGCCACGCTTGCCAGCAGGATTCTGTTTTGCAGCCAGGTTATTATCTCTAGGCTACGGCTTTTCAGGTCAGATGGAGGGGGAGGAGGCCTGGCCCTATGAAATACGGGATTGACTAGCTAGGGAGAGGCAGTGTGGTCTGGTGAATAGGGCACTGGGCTAAGCTGGCAGAGACCTGGGGCCTGTTCTTGGCTCTGCCGGTGCTGGGGAGGAGCAAAGGGCCGGCTCTCCAATGAGGTAGCAGGGTCTAGTGGGTAGAGCCTAGGACTGTGAATCAGGACGTTCGGGTTCTACTCTTGATCTGGTGCATCACTTCCCCTCTCTGTTTCCTCTTCCCTCTCTTTAAATTCCAAGCTCTTCAGGGTGCGGGGCTGCCAGTTTTGGTTGGCCGTATTCCTGGAGGTTTCATCACAAGACATAATCTGACATTAAAGAGTCATCTTTAATTCCTGGAGGGTTGGCAACCCTACCAGGGCAGGGGCTGCTTTTTAGGGGGGTGTTCACACTGCAGCCAGGGGGTGTGATTGGCAGCTGGGGCAGACGTACCCGCTCTCACCACGCCCGAGCTAGGGCGTCGCAACTGGGCTTCAGCGCCGGCTGCACCAGCCCGCCTGACCCCCTAGGTTCATACTCACTTTTATTTGTAGTGAGTTAGCCAGACTGCAGCTAGCCCGGGTGCGTCTACACGAGCTCCCCGTCCCCCGTGGCAATGTAGATGTACCCGCTCTGCGGGTGACTGCAATCCGTACTCGAATTAGCTTCGAGCTAGCTAGTTCAAATAACAGCAGCGAAGCCGCGGCAGCGTGGGCTAGGCACTCGAGTCTCTACCCGCGGTCCCAGGCGGGGTTGGGGTGTCATTGAGACAGTCCCCACTGCAAAGAGCTGGGATGCTAAGGTTATGTCTGCACTGCAGAGCGTACCCGGGTCCTGGCTTGTGGGCATGGGCTTGCCAAGAATCCACACAGCAGAGCTGCCCACGCCCCAGCCCCATGTCCAGCTGGCGCTGCAGTGAAATGTGTTTGGTGCTAGAATTGCTGGGGGTGGGGCGTATCCCAAGGTTCCTAGTGCCTCGCTAATTGCAGCGACACTAGGGATTGGTGTGCGGCCGTGTTGTGGCAGAACTTGTCGGTCCTTCCCCGGCCCCTCTGCAGAAGCGTGTGCCAGCATGTTTAGCTGCCGTATTTCCAGCTGCTGCTGAATTAGGTTAACAGAACTTTCTTTTTATGGGATGTCCTTGGCAGATCGCAGCAGGTTTAAAGTTTCAGTATTTCACCGTGGAAGTAAATAAACCTTGTAAGATGGGAAAAGTGGTGTTCATTACGCTTAAGGAATTCTGAAGGGAGTTAAAGCTATCGATAGCTGCCCTCACGGACCCCTTGAGTTTGGGGATGGCTCTTTGCCAAGGCAATTGAAACCACGAAGGAGGCAAAGAGTGGATGAAGAACTGGGCTCCGGAGAGCTGGGTTTCAATTCCCAGCTCTTCCATAGGTTCCTTGAGAAAGCTACCGAATCTTTGTGCCTCGGTTTCCCATTCCGTGTCTCCGTTCTGTGTCTGCCTGGGCGGGTTAGACTGTACGCCCCTCAGGGAGTCTGTCCAAGCCATGAGTCGAGCCCTGGCTCAGGGCTTTAGCCAGAAGGCCCCTGGAAGAGTTAGCAGCAGCAGCTTGGCTAAGTGCCCGATCAGTGGTCTTTGCGGGAGGGGGCTGGGATTGTCAGACACAGGGCCTGAGAGCCCTTTTGGGGTTATAGCGTTGGCAGGAGCTGAGGCTGAATTTCATCCTAGTTCAGTGGCGATGGAAAGTACCTTGCCGGCTCGCGGCCGTTTGCTGGTTGAGTGAATTACTGGGGACAGAGAGTGCCCAGGGTGGCATCGGAAAACACCGATTTGTTGACCCCAAAATGATTCTCAGAAACGTATCAGGTTCAACACCTTTCGACGGGAACATATTGGGCTCTGACAGATCTGTCTGGTCTCCTACCAGGCTGCTGGGGCCCCTCAGGCTTCCAGGATCTAATGCTCCAGGGCCGCCCTGCCATGCGGACTGCCCCCGGGGCAGACAGGGCCGTCCCGGGGAGGCAAGTGGGGCAATTTGCCCCAGGCCCCGCAGGGGCCCCCACGAGAATATACTATTCTATAGTATTGCAACTTTTTTTTTATGGAAGAGGCCCCCGAAATTGCTTTGCCCCAGGCCCCCTGAATCCTCTGGGCGGCCCTGGGGGCAGAAAGCCTCTAAATTCTCCCCCTGTGCACCTGCCACTGTTGCAGTCCAGGGCCCTCAGTCATTTCTCCCCCGCTAACGTTGTTAGAATAGCGCACAGGTGTAAATGACACCGGGGCAGGGCTGCGGAGAATCAGGCCCTGTGGAGTTGGTGGTTTGCCTGGGGTGATTGTCTTTCCAGATCTCTACTGTAGGTGGTGCCAAGACACCAAACAATTAGCCGGTGTCCGTACCACAGCCGGGAAGTAGGTAGGTGGCTGCGGGAGGGGGAGCGGTGGCATCGCTAAAGCTGCGGCACGAATTTCTCGAGGGGCGTTTTCGACCTTTCTTTTTATGCCGTATTGTAAAAGTGGCCAACCGCCCGAAGCTTCCCCGGAAAGGAACATTGCTGCTGGATTTGAATTTCCCCTGCTGGTTGGGTGCAGACGGGATTCAGAGGCACAGAATAGAAGCCCTTGTTCCAAAAGCCCCCCGGCGTAACATTTTCAGCAGAGCATCCTTTTGAACCCCTTTTGCAAAAAACAACCAACCAACCCGTTACACCACGACAGCCAGTTAATACAAGAGCAGCCTGCCCCCTCTTCTCTGAACACCCTCCAGTTGGTCCATAACCCCGAGGCAATCAGCCTCCTCCAGCCCTGGCCTGGAGCAGCTATGGGGGGGAGGAAGGCGGCTGGGGGGCTGCAGGGGACGGGTCAGTAGCCTGGCTGGCACCTCGCACTCAGGGCTGGTGCTGCACAGACAGTCTCTGTCTGCATTGAGGTCTGTTTTCCAGCAACTCTCAGATTTAGTCCCCCCGGGAGCTGGCTCTGTGCTGGCTGTGGTCTGGGGGCCGTGGGGAGGGCAGGAGGGCTGGGAACGCCGCACAGCAGAGCAGGCCTGAATTCCGGTTTGGGTGCCCAGACCCCTGCCCGTGCCATGGCAGTAGGGCAGAGAAGGGACCCAGGGCAGGGAGAGACCTCAGTAAACAAATACACTCTGGGCCTCGGGAGCTCCGACTCCAAAGAGCCCGGAGGGGGCTGGGACGCCCACGCCCAACTCTTCCGGCTGGGCCAGATACACTGCAAAGCCCAGTGCCCCCAGGCCTCAGCGACCCCCTTCCTGCCCAGGGCCAGGCACGCAGACCGTGGCTGCTAGAGGGGGAGGCAGCAAGCTGTCGCTGGGGGGCAGCCTGGCTTCCTGGCTGGGCAGGTGACGGGCGAGTGCTCATCTCCCAGTCTGTGCGGGGCGAGCAGCGATTCCTTTCCCCTCTGGGCGCCCCCCTGTCTGAGCCGTGCCTGGGCAGCCGTGTCCGGCCTCGCCGGGGTCGCCCCACAAGGGCTGTGAGAGAAGCACACGGCAGCCGCTCTCAAGTGCCACCTTCCTTCCCATCACTGTTCCGCCTGCAGCAGGATGAGAGAAGCCACCCGATGCACCAGCCCTTCCTGCCTCGGCCACGACGCCCACCGGGCACTGCTTCCCGCAGCCCCAGCCTGGCTAGGACAGGCCCTCCCTGGCAGCGGTGATCCCCACGGGGCCACACCTCATTGCCTGGGCATGACCTCTCCCAAGCTTCAGCCTAAACGTTCCCTTCCCTCTTGCCACCCCCTCAGAAAACCCCACAAGGAGGGTGATGCCACGAGCAGGCGTAAGCCAGAGATGCAGAGATCATGATACCGCGGAGTCAAAAGGCAGAGACTTTATTTATGAGATGGGGAGTTAACCTGTGGAACTCACTGCTACCAGATATCCTCCGTATTAAAATACAACCAATCCCAGATATTTATGTGAATAACGAGATCCACCATAGGCTCAGATAGTTGACAGCCCCATTGCCGGACCCAGTGTTTCTGCTTCGCTCCCCACGCAGTGACATTAACCCTTCGGACGCTGCAAGTGAGTGTCCCCTATCCTCCCACCCTTGCATCCCTTGGCCTGGCAGGCTGGGGAATGCCTGTGCCTGGTGGGATTGGCAGTCGCAGTGGAAGCTCCTCTGGTCTTGGTCCCATCTCTGCTCCCTGCCGGGGAGGCCGTGCTACACGATGAGGCCGGCGCTCAGGGCTCCCAGCGCCAGCAGCAGGATGATGAGGTGGTAGGACAGCAACGAGGCCAGGGACCGGTCTGGTGGGGAATCTAAACAAGAGCGATGGGGTCAGGTCCTGTCGGCGGGGACCGGCGATGCCGGGGGGTAGCTGCACCACTAGAGCGTGGCTGGGGCAGGAGCTGGGATACCCGGGGACCTTCTCCCCCATTCCATATGGGGCAAGAGGGCTGGGTCTGGGCAGGGCCGTGCCGGCCTCGCTGCCGGCGTCTCCTCTGGGGAGTCGCAGTCCGTTCTGCCCAGGAGCTCGGTGCCTGACGACTCTGACCCGGAGCAGAATGAGGAGAGTGGGAAGTGATGGGGCCCCTCGGTCCCCCCAGCCTGAGTCCCTGCTCTGCCTGTGAGCAGCTGAACTCCTCCCTGGGCCCTGCCCCGCTGATGTTCCAGACCCTTCCCCTGAGCTCTCAGAGCAAAGCCCAGCTCTCCCCGTGCCCGGCAGCGCTTACCCGGGGGGTTACCTGGACACAGGTCCTTCGGGGAGATCATCCTGGAGCTGTTACTGGCGGGGTGCCGGGCTGTGCAGATGACGGCCGGCAGAGCCTCGAAAGGTCTCCGAGAGACGCGCAGAGTGGCTCTGGTGGATACGACCACGCCGCTGTCCTTTTGAGTCCAGCTGTAGGCCACCTGTCCCCCTCTCTCCCCGGCCACGCAGCGCATGGTGTAGTGACAGGTTCCATTGTCACAGGTCACCGAGTCACAGACAATCGTTGTCGCCGGCACTTGCTCTGCGAGGGGGAAGGGGGGAGAGAAACGGGATAAAATCCCTGGCGCAGCTTCCTAGCAGCTGCCTGGAACTGCAGGAGGAAGCCGAGGGCAGGAGCCTCTGCCCCAGCCCAGCATGGTTGGAGCAGGGGTGGGTGGAGCATCTGCCCCTAGATGGCTGGTCAAACATTGGTCAAATACTGTCAAAAACACCGTAAAGCACCGACGTATTAGAACAGGAACACCGGTAACAAAATACGGCCGTGGGCTCCAGTCCGCTTAGCCTTAGCGACTTCTGTTTAATCGCCCCCCCAAAAAGTTACTGACCAGGGATGGTGGGTGAACTCCCACTTCAGGGAGGCTAGCATGACAGCCCCACCTCTTCCAACTGAGCACCCCCGCTCCCCGCAGCCAGAGCCCCAAGCATGCCCCCCCCACCCCAGCGGCCAGAGCCCGGAGCCTCCCCCCCCCGTGGCTGGAGGAGCCACAGGCCACCCCAACCCCTGGACACTGGCTGGAGCTCAGCCCCCGCCGGCTTGGGGTGAAGCACAGGTGGGGCCAGGGCCTGGGTTAGGGGAGGCTTAGCCTGCCCGGGTCTTCAGTACCATGGGAGGCGGGTATTGAACTTTAGTTCCGTTATTTGAACTCAGAAAAGGGCAAATCCCAATGAACCGAAGTTGTAAGAAAAGGAAAGACGAATGATTCCTGGTCCCTTTTCTAGCAACGTTCTGTTACCTCTTCACTGTGAACGTGAGTCGAGACTGAACAGTTACAAAAGCAAAGACAAATGAAATGAAGCAGCAATAAAAGAAAAAGAAAGAACAAAATCCATTTTTAACGGCACGTAAGCTAGGCGGGCAGCTGGCCAGCTGTTCGAGCAGCTCGCTTGGCAGTCTCTTATTTTTCTTTATCTGTTTCGTGTAGGTCCCAGCCGTCATCCCCGTCAGCGAATTCATCCGTGTGTCCTTCTTCCTCTTCCTTGGATGAACATTGGGTCAGTTCTTCACCTGCCATTTTCTTTTCTCATCTTACACAGCAGGGGAGACTTTCCGTCACTTTCTGGATTTTCAGTGCAGGATCCCCAAACCGGCCAACGGAGCCATTTAAAGTGTTACAGGCGTTTCTGCCGCTGTAGCTAGATTGCAAGGCGGACGCTGCTTTGATTTAAGTGCGGGGATTGCACTCCGCACTGTTTTACGGCTGGCCGGGCTGCCGTTTGTGCCATAACTTGCAACCGCCATCCGAACGGTTTGTTCGCTGGTTTAGCCTTTAAAATTCGCATGGGACGCTCTGAGGTCACAAGCAGAAATGGAATCACCGTTGCAGACGTCTTGGAAGCATGGATCTAGAAGGTAGACAACAGGGGGTGTGTCTCACGGGGTTCACGCCACTCACGGCTGGGGCGCCTCCTTGTGGCTCACCGGGGGATTCGCTCACCGCTGGTTTGCCGCCGCCGCTTGCGGTTTCTTGGCTCCCTTGTCCCAGTCGCGCACTTGGTGGCTTCTCTCCTGCTCCGCGAGCTCCAGCGCTTCCTCTTTGTGGCTTGACCCTCAGGCCAGGCTGCTGCAGTTTCCTCCCTTCACGGGGATCAGAGTCTCGCTAAATAAACCGCCTCAGGAAGTCTTCAAAATCCATTGCCCTGCCCCTGTTACCCTCCCCGCGGGCCAGGCCCTCCCTCCCTCTACACCGGCTCCCTACAGTCACCAGCTCAGGTCCAGGTGGCCTGGTGTTTGCTGCTCCCTTCTCTCAACCCCGAGAGTGACTGTGACTCTGCCCCTGGCCCCGCCCGGCCCTTTCTGCTGCTTTCCTCTCCCTGGTTTTATACCAGCCCAGCCGGGCTTCAGGCTCAATTCGGGCTGTCTATCCAGCCCACACCTTACCCAGGTGCAGCCCACCCTGTCAGGTAGCCCCTCCTGAGCCCTTTTACTCCTTGAGCGGCGGTGTAGGGTGAACACCCCGTCAGTGCGGGAGTGATCCCTTCGTTTTTCCGTGATATCGTCCCTTTTCCTTCCTCGCGTCCGCTCTTGTAAGTGGACTGTGTTCCCTGCGCTCACGAGAACGTGTTTGAACGTTCAGGAACCCGTGCTGGGCATCAGACGACGCAGAAGTGTCGTTTCCCACGTTCTGAATGGACTAAACGCCGGGTTCAAGCAGTGAACTGAATGTTGAGATTCACGTTCGATGGCACAGTGGGTTATCCGCACTTGGCCACCCCTTGTCCGCCAGCCGCGGCTGCACATTGGAAGATCTTTGAGACGGTTGGTAGAAGATGCCCAGCGAGTACCATGAGACGTTCTCGGCGTGGCTCTGCTAACGATGCTGAAAAAAGGCTGCTGGGTCTTGTTTGGTTTTGAACACCAGGACAACGCTCTTCCCTTCTGGCCCGTGTGGAGAGAAAACTGTCAGATCTTCAGCTTCCCCTGTGAGAAGCTGCCATGTCCGGGCAGCACGGCCAGACCACCGAGGGCGTGAATGCTCGTTTGTCGTCAAAGCCCAGGCAGCCTCCATGTGAGCCGCGGCGTTGGTCCCAACACCAGACCATTCCTGGGACCTGGTTCGTTGACAATATTTTTTAACAGTCCGCAGTCTCCTGGCCTGGTGAGCAATGGACCAGACGGCGTGGCAATGCTCAGCTGCACGCGGGAATGAGTAAAGCTCCGGCTGTGGCGTCATTACCGTGATGTCATGCGACTATTGCTCCATCTGTCTGACACTAGAGACACATGAGGGGCTTGCGCAAGACGAACCCCGAGGGCTGGGGTCACAAAGGAACGTAGGGATGCTGGGAGCCGCCGATTCTGACTCTGAGGGGCCTGGGACGCCACTGAGATTCACAAGCCTGAGTCTGGCGCCCGGGTGTCCCGTGCGATGAATGGGGACAGACAGGTACAAAGAGATTCGCACTGGGCAGGGAGCCCCCAGGCTAGTCAATGGGAGATGCTGGCGGGATGGGGCATCCTCCCCCTTTGCTGCCTGTCTTTGCTGGGGACTCTCAGCTGGGAACTCTCTCTTGGGCGCGGGCTGCCGAGGCCTCCCCTTGTACCGTGTAGCCCCGTGGTGAGGGTCCTCCCCTGGGTGGGAGAAGGGGTTTGAACAGGGAGCTGCCACCTCGCTGGTGAGTGATATAACTACCGGGCTCTGGGATAGCCTGGCGGGGGGCTCTTTGGATCTCTGATTAATGAGTGGCTGGAGCAGGGGATCGGATCCTGGGGCTCCCTGCTCCGGGGGGAGCTCTCTACCCACCGGCTACGGAGCTGTTCTCGTGCCGGTTCTCTTTGCGGCCCCATGACTCTGCACTGGCCCAGCCGCAGGGACGCTCCAGACCCTTCCCTTGATATCTCCCTGGGGGGCAGCAGCTTTCTCAGAGTGGGAGGTGGGGCAGGGGATTCCTGGGGTGACGCGGCCCCTTTAAGTGCAAAAGTGTTGGAGACCAGAGTGGTGTCATTGAAATAGTCGTGGGGTGAGTGCCGAGGCGGGGACCCGATGCCAGCTCTCTCCAGTGTTTCCCTGCGGAGGGCATTACCTGCGCAGAAGTCCTTCGGGGAGACCGTCCTCCTGGAGCTGTTCCCGTCGGGGGCACGTGCCATGCAGGTGACGTCCTCCCGAGCTGCCTGGTGCCGCTGAGGGATGTGCACGATGGAGTCCGTGGACAGAACGCTGCTGGGGGCGTTACTCCAGCTGTAGGTCACGTTCTCCCTTCCATCCCTGACGGTGCAGCGCAGGGTGTAGATACAGGCATCATCCTCACAGGCCACTGAGTCACAGGCGATGGTGGGTGGCAGTTGTCCCTCTGTGTGGGGGGGGGGAGAAACACAGAACAGGCTGAAATCCCTGCAGCAACTTACCAGCTGCTGCCTGGATTTGCTGGGGGAGCAGCGCGCAGGGAGCCCTCTGCATCTTTGCAGCACGCTTGGAGCAGGGGCAGAGGGACATGAAGGTAATGGCACAGCTGGGAGGGAGAGGACGAAGGAGGGATCATTTGGCGAGGTGCAGGGGGGCCTAGCTTGGGGATCGGTTGGGGGTTTGAGCTGGTTGAAATTTTCCAATGAACATCTTTTCCATCTGGAAATTTGGTTTAGTCAAAATTGCCTTTTTGGGGGGGGGGGGGGCGGGAGTTGATGCCAAGAAAAATGTTCAGTTTTCTGAAGCAGGTATTCAAAGCCAAACCCCAAACGTTGCATTTCAAACAGACTTTCCCCTCCTCCCATTGGAGTCCACTGTAATTGGCAAGGTCGTTGTGGAAACCGATCAGCATTTCGACACCTCGTGTTTCAGAGGGAGCGAAAATGTCAAAATGTTTAATTTCCTGATGGGATCTTTTGCAACTTTTCATGCCACAATTTTTTTTTTTTGGTTATTGACAGATTTCTACTTCACATCCCGATCTGGGACAAAAGCAGATGTCGAAATGGCCCCGTGCAAGGGAAACGTTGTTCCTGACTAACTCCCTTAGGGTGACCAGCGCTGGAGTTGTGGGATGGGGGATGGGGCAAGCAGAGCAGGAAGTGGAGCCCTGGTGGGGTGGGGGAAAACCTCAATTCCAAGAGGAGTTTGGGTTTCTGATGGGCCAGGGCCGTGTGGGGCAGGGGCCAGGATGGGGGAAGGAAGCTGCAGCAGAGCACGAGAGGGAAAGGGCTGCAGAAGACGGAGGAGCAGGGAGACAGGGCTGGTGAGCAGCAGAAGAGACAAGCACCAGGTGGAGGAAGAGGAGTTGTTTGCCAGCGGCTGTGAGTTTCCTGAGCAGGGTGGGTTCCAGGCTCCCTCAGGGATCCCCCTGCCCCAGCACTTACTGGACACGTGCAGCGTGAATTCTCTGTAGGCGAATTGCTCTTTGTCTGTGCTGAATTCGACGGTGTAGCTGCCCGTGTCCTCCATCCTCAGGTCGGTGATCTGAAGCGAGTAGCTCTCATCAGAGAATCGCAGGCGTCCCTCGTAGGATGGGTCAAACACCAGGACGCGGGGAGGTTTCCCTGCGGTGACGGTGACTAGACTCTTTGTGTTTACCGACCAGGCCCCGTTTTTAAATTTCTGTGCTGCTGAGATCCTCAGGGGGAAAGTGACCGATCCTCCCAGAATCCCGGTCAGCTCCGTCTCGTCTGCGGCTGCTCTGGAGTACTCTGGTGCACGGGAGGGAAGAACAGGGAATAGATCTACCATGGACGCACCAGGCCAGTTCCCTCCCCGGTCGCCGTTCAGGCTCCCACAGGAACCAGGGGGAGTCACGGATTACGGGAGTGGGAGAAACTGTTTCCCCTGGATCTGGGCTCAAAACCCACAGATTGCAGATCTGGATGTCAAACGTCCCATGGCCAGGCAGCCTTCCCCCCTGGGGCATTGGTTTGGATATTACAGAGCAAGGGGCCATTTGTGAGGTTGAGAGCCGGATCTGGCTTTGGAACACATCCGCTCTTGGGGGACAGAGATCTGGTAGCAGTAGAGGGTTCTTACCCTTGCATGGGGAGCAGCCTCTAGATAAAAGACCCTCAAAAGGGACAAAGACCCTCACTGGGCTAGAGCGGGAGATGCTTTTCCAGGGGTTTTATCCACGAAGCCATGGGAAGCTGATGATCCTATTACAGCCCATTGAACAGCTGAACAAATCTGTCTGTCTATCTCCATGCCCACCCATCTCTTCCCCCCCCCCCCCCCCGCCCCGGTGCTGGGGAATGGTGGGTCGTGCCGTAACCACTATAGCAGAGGGAATACCTGCTACCACAGAAATGGTCTTGCCAGTATCTCCACCTAGCAAATTATCTGCCAGGCGCTTTAGCAGCCGGGCCCTGCTGGTGCCAGGGGGAACCTCAAAGGGCAACTTCAAACCCCTTAGGGCAGCAGGTCTCCTGGGAGAGGCAAGTACCAGCCCTGGTAACTGCCTCCCAGGCCGGAAGTAGCCAACGTGGCATTTCTGTTGGTATTGCCACATCCCCACTAGCGGTTCAGGGGCTGGGAAGCAGACGAGCGACGAAATGCAGGCTGAGATCCTGGGCCTCATTCTCCATCGCGCTGCGTCTTGCGTAACCACTTCCCCCAGGGCAAAGCCAGTGTGAAATGCCCCTGGTGTGATCCGGGAGCATTTTACATGCAGGGCCGCGGAGGATCGGGCCCGACCAGGGGGTCTTGGAAAAATCTTCTTGGTGTGCATGAGACGGGTCGACCCAAAGGGTCAGGTCGGTCCCGCCCGCCCCGTGGCTCACGCTGGGCCGGGCCCAGCTGTCGTACAGGCGCAAGGAGGGACCGTTTCATCTCAGCCTCGTGACTGTCATTGGGGAATCGCCCCCTCCCCACCCCAAGCCCCTCTCCTCTCCCCTCCCACTCCTGAGCCGGGCTCTCGTTCGCTCCCTCTCCAGCGGTCTGGGTAGTCTGAGGGCCCTGCTGTGGTTCTGTGTGCAGGTCACGCTCCCAGTGTGGCTGGGCCCCGGCAGTCCCTGTGCAGGGGGTGGGGAGCTGGGGCAGGAAGCACTAATCCGTGCGGATCCCCCCGAGCAGCCGCCGGGAGCTGCTAGGGAAGCAGTAATAACCCTGCCCCGCTACCCCTAGGGACCAGCGCTCAGAGCATCCCCTGCTGCAACACGGCCACCTCGCAGGAATCCCCTTCCCTCCCTCCTCTCAGCCTCCAGCCCCACAACCTGACCCCTCCTTTTCCCTTCCCCAAGTCCTCCTGTCTCTCTGCCCCAGAGGTCCCCCCACAACTCTCTATGCTTTGCCCTGCCATTATGCAGAGCGTCCCTCCCAGCGTCATCCCTCTGCCCCCTGCTGCGGGGAGATGGTCCCCCAAGACCACAGGGGCACTCTCAGGCCTGGCCAGACCCCTCCCTCGCCCCCCCCCTCCAGGCTTTTCGGGGTCTGTGTAGCTTCCCACGGGTCTTGCCCCCAGCTGCTGGAGAGGAGGGGACCCTGCAGGGTCAGGTGAGCTGGGAGTGCAGGGCTATTCCTGCCCCGGGCTCTATCTCTGTTCAGCTCTGCTGATGCCCTGCAATCCCAACATGCAGCCCCCCCCTTCCCGCCCTGGAGTCCCCCTCCCTCCCTCAGCTCTGCTGATGCCCCTCAATCCTGACATGCAGCCCTGAGCCCCCCCACATTCCAGCCCTGGACTCCCCTTCCCTCCTTCAGATCTGCTGATGCCCCTCAGTCCCGACATGCAGCCCCCACACCCCCCCGGTTATTTCAGCCCTGGCTGAGTAGCTGTTTGCAGGGCTGGATTAACTCTACATGGAAAAGAAGGCAAATGGATTGAATCAAACCCTAGACTCCCAGTTGCCCAAGGCGCGGGGTTTGTGGCTGACCCGCGGTCACTGTTTCCTGCACTCTAATTCAGACAGATCACTCACCTCCAAGCTGTAAGAGCAGAAGAAGCAAAAGAAAAGAAGGTCGAAGAAGAGCCCCCTCCATCCTGACAGCGTAGGGCAGCGGGCGTCGGAGATCCTCACCAAATGGAGCCAGAGCCTGGAGCGGTTCGGATGTGGACGTCTGGCTGGCAGGGCGATCCTGGCTACCCTCTGTGGCTGAGGATGGACTGCAAAGAAACGAATCGCCCTGCGGCTCTGCAATTTCTCCACTGGGAGATGGGATTTGGCAAGACCAGACCCCACTGGCCGTGATGTGACTCAGCTCTTGGGGTAAGTCACCCAATGAGCTCAAAGCAGCCAAGTTCCCTAAACCCCACAGGGTGTGTCACTCTGCGCGCAGGGCTACACTCAGCCAGGGTCCTCTAATTGCTCAGGGGCGGCGGGTGGGTCTAAAACGGACACAGCTCCTGCGTTATTGGATGGTTCTGTCTATTGCACCGGAGAGTCTGTCACGCTAGGAATTCACAGTTACCCTGGGGCCCCTTGACACGACAGTAGCATATACCTCGATAGCATTCATCACCATGTATTTTTTGACAGGTTTCCATGAGAAAAAGCTTGGAAGAATAGAGTGAGAGAGCTTAAAGATTAAAAAAAGAATGCTTGGGTAAGGTTTAGAGGAAAAAAAGGAAAGAAAGGTTGTTTGGTGAGGTTGAGTAAGGAGAGATGATTTTAAAGGCCTAGTTTGGCATGTTATTAAAGAATAGAGAACTTAAAGAAAAATAAAGATTTTTGTTTTTAAAGGGTTAGTTTGAAAGAAAAGAGGCAAGTTATTAAAGAGAAGAGAGATTTTTGGTGAGGTTTAATAAGGAGAGGTGTTTTTAAAGGACTAGTTTGGTATGTTATTAAAGAATAAAACAATTTGAGATAAATGTAAAAGGTGTATTAAATATAAGAGTAGGTTAATAAAAAGCATTTAAAAAGAGTTAAATAAAAGAGAAACATATAAAGAGAGGTTAAAAGAGAGAACAGAGCAAGAAAAGGGAAAAGAAAGCCCTTTGGCAAAGGGCAAAGCTAGACAGCCCGTGGTTGAGTCAGAGAGAGAGATCTTACCCGTCCAAGTGTTTCTGCGGAAAGAAGCAACTTCCCAGGTACACAGCCCCTTAGGCTTGTTACCACCGCCTTTGGGTCGGCCCAATCAGATGTGGTTCTATAGCAGTGTCATACAATTCATTTTCCTGAACCAATCCTGTAGTCCCAAGGTTTTTAAACAAGAGCCACCTCCCCCCCACAACTGCCTTAATCTTATATAAAAAAACGAACCCCAAGCATTTTCCCCGCCATGTAGCCCATTTACCTAGGGGCTTTAATAAAAGTTAAAACTATAAGCCCTTAGTAACAAACAATTTTTAAAAGTTTTCCCGTATGTTTT